CCTCATCGTGCCTTTAAGCATCATCTAGTCATAGATTAGTTTCTCCAAGAATTGATTCCCGTTCTCACCCCCCTCCACTCCCACCCCATGGTTGTTATTTTCCCTTGGATCCAATAAATTAAAAATTAATGGCAGTTCAGAAAGTGTTGTGCTCTGTCGAGTGCGCGGGTTGGTGGTGTTTCCGTGTCGCCTTGAATGTCGGACCCTCCCCGAATGTTCTCAGGGGGGAGAAGGAAAAGATTCCTTTGTAGATCGTTGGTTAAGCTTGGACTTGCTGGCAAAGGCGCTGTCTTCGTAGGAAGCAGGTGTAAAGTCTCCAGTCGGAGGCAGAGCTCGGCGGATGGATGCTAACGTTTCCTGTAAACACACATACACATCATGATGGAGGCTGTGACGTTGGTGGCACACGATTTTAAGAGCTGGCATCCCTCCCCTTCTTTCCCCTCCCCCCGTCACTGAAACAATAATTCTGCATAGGTTTCTCCTGGACTGTGGGTTAGCCATTACAGATTGAGATTTAGAATTGAAGGGGCACAAGGTAAAGGGGGCACGAACTGTGTTCTCAGCAGCGCATATGTGTGTGCTCATGGCGTGTATGCAGCCGTGCACACACCCTCAACCATGAGGACAGCAGGTAGCCGATCTCTTGACTGGAATTCCCCCAAAGGGCAGGTGCAGGGCAGTTGTAGGAGATGGACCAGGGTGGGAGGGGCTCTGGAGCCCTGCAAGGTAGGGGACTTGCTGGCCAGGTAAGGCCTTCTAAGCCCTTGCAGCCACTGGGGCTTGATGACAGTTTGGCTGGGCCAGTGTTAACTGCATCCTTCCATTTCTGTCTTCTGCCCCAAATTCCTCCTGACCGAGTGTAGCCGAGCCACGGGGGAAGTTTGTCTTAGGATCAAGTGCCTCCCCTTCACTTAACAACGACGACCATTATTATTTGTGAAGCCTGATTTCATTGCTTCTAAATGCGCTTACCAGCTGGGAGGAGGCCAGCCTTGTAAATAAAATGTGGTTTTGTTGTAAAAGAAAATCTAACTCTGTGTGTGTGTATGTGTGTGTGTAAATATATATTTGTTCAGGCACTTTAGGATTTAGCATTTCAGAACTCTCCCAGTGCTCTGATATCTGACATTTGAACAAGTCGCCTGCTGCATCCATTCATTTTTCCTCTTAATGAGTCAAGTGTTTTAGCAATCGCTCGACTTTATTCGACTCTTAGTATATTGAGAACAGTAATATTTTTCAGGGCTGCCTGGCATTTGGGGAGCTTTTCAAGAATTCACATATCATCTCAGAGGAAGACCTTGTTTTTGCCTTATTTTTTAAGGCCAGAGTTTGCTGGCTGAGGCTGCAGGCAGGGCTGGATTCGTAGGGTTGGGGATTTGAAAGGCTGATTTTGTCTCTTCTTTCTCCTGGTGCTTTCTCCTCTCTGGGTGGCAGTTGGGGCCGTCTGCCTGTCAGGGGAGAGGCCTGGTCCTCTGAGGCTATACAGAGATGCAAGGGTCTCTCTCCAGAGCAGGCAGAGAGGAGAGGCTTGGAGGACCAGACCCCTTCCTATTGTGACTTCTCAGGGTTGGCCAAGTGGTTTCTTCTCCTTTTATTTCTTTCATTACCAATACAGTTCTAAGAAGGAGCACACACACACGCACGCACACACACACACACCCTACACGCCCAGCCCAGTATCCGCCTGCCAGCGGAAATGAAACCACGGTCTTTGGGGTGTCTCTCAAGGCCTTAAGCTCAGCTTTGAGGCCCAGTGAGCTGCCTTGGTTGGCCCATTCTGACCCAGAAGTTGGGTGACTTTGGATTTCAGGGGGACTCTGCTACTTGAATGCTGGGGATGACCTTGTGATGGTCCTCAGGAGTGTCACATGCATGAGTCCAGAGCTCAGAGTTCAGAACCCCACAGCCTGGGGGTGGGGAGAGGAAACCCCATTCTTTGGAGTTGACAGGGTGAAGAACACGCTGTCAGCTCAGGGAGTTTTACTTTCAATGCTGAAAATGTGAGGGGAAGAGACTTTTTTTTTTTTTTTCCCCCTTCTTCTTTTTCTGGTTCTTTTTTTCTCCCAACTTGCTTAGAGGCAGTGGTTGGCTCCAGGTCTGGGAGGTGGAGACCTGGTCTGGGAGTTCACAGCTGAGCTTGGATAGTCCGGGGGACAGCCTGGCTGCCAGGGACTTCACGCAGAATCAGAACTGCTGCACAGTAAACAGCGTTGGAGATCTTACTCAATTACTGGTGCTCACAGGGCTTGCTGCATGAGGAAAGTGAAAAGGCAGAGACTGCCAAAGACAGGAAAGAATACCAGATGTTAAAAAAAAAAGAGGGGGGGGCTGAGGGAGAAAAGGAAAAAGTGCTGGTTCGCAGTCTTGGCAAAGAAGGGAGCGGAGAGGGAGGGATGCTTTCGAACAGGCGTCTGTGACCTTTGCTAATTTTTAAATTAGCCCATGTTTCTTTTGAATTAGAAGATGAATTTGAAATTTTGTAGCTGCAAACTTCCTAAGCAGATTGGGGATACTCATGCTTGCTCCAACTCTTGCCGGGGAGGGCAGATGTAGCTGAAAAAGTTAGTAAAAAGCAATAAAAGATTCAATACAAAGAGGAAAAAGACCTTAGAAGGGATGTGCAGGTTGGGAATGTGGATTTGTTGTTTTGAGCGAATGCTCTGTGGACTGGGTGCTTCGCCAGGCCTGCTCTCGACTGGTATTTAAAAAGGTACCAGGTACCGCGCCTCACCCCAGCTTCGATTGAATTCTCAATTTCATTTTGTCCTTTTTTGCTTTTCAGTTCATTTCCTTCATGCCTTTTTTTTTTTTTTTTTAACAAAACAATATTTTGACATCCTCCTCCCATTTATTAGCTAGCGCTCCGTCTCTGGAAATGGCGCACAATACATCCTTATATTTCTAAAGAACTGTTTTCACAGCCCTCTCCTTTGGCTCTGAAATTATGTATATGTAATTGGTAATTAAAGGTGCGAGCTTTTCAATATAAACAGTATTGCTCAATGTTAGATCATTAAAGGGAAAAGAGGCACCGAATAATTACCTTTTACGTTCTGACAAACCGTTCACAGGAATCCAGGCTCTCCCTCGAACCACTGTTCAGCTTGAAGGTTGTGATTACATTTTAACCATAGCAAAGCATCTTTTCATAAAATGAATTGGTAAATTAATTATGTAGCATTGTCTTCAAACTCCTTTTTAAGTAAACTCCGATTTCTTTTAAAAGTGTAATTAATGGTTTCTGGGACTGGCTTTGTGAGGACTGTTTCTTTACCTTGTCGGTTCTTTTTGTGAGAGATCTGCAGACAACAGATTTAGGATTTCCTTGTCTGCGGGGTGTTTTTCTACTGCCACATTTCTGAACGATTTCTACCTTTAATTCCTTGAAGGCCCTGTCTACTTTTCTGTAATCACAGACAGGATCGCAAATTGTAATTCCCCTTTCTCAGGTATACCTGGGCCTGACCCCCCATCCATGCTCAGCCTATGTCACGAGCCTCACGTTGGACTCCGGCAGGCCCCAACCGAGTTTGTGTTCAGAAAACACAGAACAGTGATTTATATGTAGGATGGAAGATGCCACAGAATTTTTTCCTTAAATTATCTGTTCTTTGGCTCTGGCCCGTCAGTAACTTCACTGCCACGGAATGTATTTGTCTCCCTTCCATGCCTTCTCCCTGTTCTTCTGTGGTTTTCATTATCCTTTCCCGAATACCATACAGCCTAAAGTTTACCTGCGTCCTCGGGGTATCAGACCTTTGGCTGCCCCTGGCTTCCCTGAAGACCCTGCCACTTGTGATGACTGACATTTGCTCTTGAAAAATTCCAGCCTGAGTTTGCTCAGACCCCGAGGGGAATGGAAACCTCAACACTGGTCATTTGCCTTTTATTCATGACACTTTCTCTGCCCAGTTTTTTAATTTCCCCTTGAGGGGAATGGCTGATTTGTCAGGTATTTTAACTTCAAAATACTTGGGTCCTGTGTCCTTTACGATGACAACCACAACAAAAGGAAATATACTGACTGCTTAAAGAAATATAAAAACATTCAGCCCATTGAAAGTGGGGTTTGATATCTGCCAAGAAATGCTTTTGGATTCTGAAGAATTTTTTTTTTCTTTTGTTTTTCTGGGAGTGAAAATAAAACCAACAAACAAAGAAAAAGGATGGTGGAGAGTTGCTGAGCGCTGGGAAATGTACAACAGGATAGGGTCTGACCGGGGGTAGACTGTTTGCAGAGAAGCCAGCTCACTTTGGCAGCTTTGTTTTTGCCTTTCATATTTTTTTGGAACCCGACACTCAACTTGTTGCTCTCTGAGATGTGGGCTGCTTTCTCTGGGAAGGACTGACCCTCTGACGCCTGTCTGGGTTTCTGTTTTCCAGTTTGGTGTGTGGCCAGGGCTCAGGTAGAGGAATGTGAGTAGGACGGCATGAATGAGGAGCAAAGAACATGAATGAAAGCACCCGGGAAGGGAGGACTGCAGCTCCAGTCTGAGCAGGGGCACTGGGTGCTAGCTTTCTGCTTCTCAGCCTTGCTGCCCGGTGGAATCACCTGGGATGGCTTCAAAAATGCTGATGTCTGGTTTCCAAAGTGATTGCTCCAGGGCACTGTTGCCTGGTTCCGGTGATGCTCAGATACCCCAAGTTTGAGAGACACATCTTGGCTGATGCTGCTGGCAGCCAGGATGTGTGCACTGTGCCTGTGTTCTCATGCTATGTGGGGAAGAATGGGCAGAACATGAACTAAGACCTGCTTGTGTGATAACCTCTGGGCATCATGACACTGCTCCCAGGGCCTCAGTGTGACCATCTGTTGGGGCAGGGGTTTGTTGAACTCCAATCCTGGGAGGACCTGCTGAGTTCCAGCAGTCAGCCGCAGGGGAGGGGGGGGCTGCTCTTCTTGGTGGGGAAGGGGTAGCAGGAGCCCTGCTGCTTTGATCACCTAAGTCCATCTCTGTCTTCTCTGCCCCTCCCTGTCTCCTTTCTGTCTCCAGCAGAGGCTGACCATGTGGAGGCTGCCATCCTCGAGGAAGACGAGGGTCTGGAGATAGAGGAACCCAGCAGCTTGGGGCTGATGGTGGGTGGCCCCGACCCTGACCTGCTCACCTGTGGCCAGTGTCAGATGAACTTCCCCCTGGGGGACATCTTGGTTTTTATAGAGCACAAGAAGAAACAGTGTGGCGGCAGCCTGAGTGCCTGCTATGATAAAGGCCTGGACAAGGGCAGCCCCCCGCCCTCGTCACGCTCTGAGCTCAGGAAAGTATCCGAGCCGGTAGAAATTGGGATCCAGGTCACCCCTGATGAAGATGACCACCTACTCTCACCCACGAAAGGCATCTGCCCCAAGCAGGAGAACATTGCAGGTATGGAACATTGCGCTCACCTGGTCACTTGCTGAAGCCACTGTGGGCTGCCCCACGGTCTATGTGCATCGGTGCTGGGGAGGTCTGGGGGCTTCCAGGATGGCCTCTGTGCCACCAGCTGGGGCTTCCCCTTTGTGAGGGCACACCAACTAAGTGGCCTTCCAAGGAGGTGGACCTGGGGCTCAGGGAGGCCTGACTGGCCTGTGCTGGGTGCTTTGCTTTCGGCAAGGGGTTCTATCTTGGGACCTAATCCAGAGTGGTCTGGAGCACAGCATGGACATTCAGAAGTCTGCCTGGCTCCCTCTTTGCTGGTGATCTTGGCTTAGTCCCTGGCTTTGGAGCCGGACAGTGTTGGGTTGGAATCTGTTCTCTACAACTTGGACACATCACTTTCCTATCTGTAAAATGGAGCTAAGGAAATCTACCTCGTGAGGATTGTCATGAGGATTAGGGAGATGTTGCGTGTGGTAGTACCTGGCAAGCACTTACACCCAGGAGCACACATCTCCTCTCTTCTTTCTGGACTCAGTTTCCCAGCTGTGAAAAGGGGGGTTAGGCCTCCCGATCTCTGAGTCTGCTTCTCATGTTCCCTGACCCCAGGGGTGGTCTGGGAGGGGTTGTGAGAATTTGTCAGAGCTCTGTGCCCTTGGGGAAGATCGGACATGCCTTTTGGCACACCCACTTGGCTGACCTGGACAGCTGGTCTCACTACCTGAAGAACAGGTATGGGGCCTCTATGCCAGGCATGGCCTGTGTCCTCCAGCAGGGTGTGTTCACCTTGGTGACTCTGTGCTAAGTCCTGCCTTCCAACCACACCATGGCATGCTGGAGTGTTCCCTCTGGGAGTTACAGCTCTGCCTGCAGGCCAGAGCGTTTTTTTCTGGTTTATGTTTCTGAGTCCGGGAGGCCTCAGGGAGACTAGGGGTCTTGGCCTGCCTGTGATCTTGAAAAGTGGCAGTCTGTTCTGGAGCAAGACGGGCATCAGAGTTCGTGTGGATGAGGGTTCAAATTTTGCTGGTTGACTATGCCTGACACTTGGGGTGGACTTTGCCTGACCTCAGTTTCCCTACCTGTCAACAGAGAGTAATAGTCCTAGCAGGCCTGATGATTAAATGAGTAGGGACTCCTTGAATGCTTTGCCAGTGGGACTTCTCTCTCAGGAGTCTTCTGTGGCTCTGCAGGGGACAAATAGGTGGCCGACTGGGGGGTCATGTGCGGCTTGGTGACCTCAGTGCTCTGGTCATGGAACTCTCAAAGGCATTGGAAGTACTGAGACTTTGGCTGCTCCTAGGAGGTGACAGAAGGGTGTGTGCAGGGACCTCCCATCACCTGGGAGCTGTCAGGGTCAAGCAGCAAAACCATTGGTACCATGCGGCAGCTTTGTAACTTTGGGTCTCTCTTTGCACACCTGCCACTGGGATTAATGACCTGCTGGGTATTGGGGAGGCCCTGTGAACCAGGCCAGCCTCTGCTCCTTGCTTTGTGATGAGTGCCCCAGTGCGAAACCTCTCACTTCTGAGATGCAAAGGTATGGAGAGCAACCTCAATACGTCCAGGCCACAGATCTGCAAACTGCCTTCTCCCAGCACCGCACAGCCCCCTGCGACACTTCCTTTGTTAGGGCCAAGCAATCAGGCAGGAAGGCTGCTGGGTCCCTTGTCTGTGTTGTCTAACACTGGAAGGATAGATTTCAGAATGGATAAACACCTGGTGTCAGTGCACACAGACCCTTAGGGGTGACCTCTGCCAGGGAGACTCAGCTCCTATTTCTGTTTCAGTGCGCAGACTTGTAGCTTTTACCCCCAAAACAAATCCTGAATTTGCATCACAGCAATTTCCCAGTGAAGACTGTGGATCGCTGGGTTGGGGGAAGTTTGTTTAAGAAAGCAACTAAATGTGATTTCATAAAAGGCAGGATTAATCTCCAAGCAGCTTTGTTCTCATCCTCTAGTCCCTCCTGCCCCGTTTTTTTTTTTTTCTTCTTTTTGGGCAGTAATATTGCAGCAGCCTACAATACTTCTATTTTATGTGTGACGAAAGATCTTGGTCCTTCTGGTCGGAACAGGGCGAATGGATTTCTTCATTCTAGAAGAAATATGTAAAATAATCCCTTAAAAGGCTAAAAAGATATGTTTGTTCAGAGCATTTAAAAATGCTATTTTAATCAAAGGCACAAAACAGTCTACATGCTGCTGTGTCAGCTGTAGACCACCATTCTGTTCTAACAGCATCCCTGCTCTCCTATCTCCCTCCCTACTTTTGTACCAACTTTTCTTTTTTTTTTTTTTTATTTACTAAAAAGGGAAGATTAAAGAATAGAACTTCAGTGGCTCAAATGTATAAAGTAATTTAATATGGTGGGAGCATTAATTATTTTAGCTTAATTGAATTCTGAGGACTGCCGTCTTTGCATTTTTGCAGACAAGCCCTGTTTATTATTTCTCTGTGTAGATTAACAGTAAAGGAAACACAGATAACTTTCAGTTATTTATTGTAAAATAAATGTGTCAATTCATGTGTAAAGCAAGCTGCTCAAAGATAATTGAGTCTTTATATTTTAAGAGGGGAACTAGGAATTGCTGGTGTTTCTCTGCCCAGGCTTCTGGAAATCCTCACAGCTCGCCCATGCCCCTGGCACGCTGGCCTTGCTGGGCCCTGGGCTCCTGTCTTTTGGCCATGACTTCCAGGGGATTCTTCAGCCTCTTCATGCCCTGCTTCTGTCCTCATGGCCTTGCTGGCCCTGACCTGTAGCAGGCAGGCGGGTGGCTGGTAATTCTGGGACTGTGCCGCTGGTTTAGGTGTCCAGTTTGGTTGAGTCCAAGGTGAGGTGGCTGTGAGGACCTACCTGTCCTGGAGCCAGCAGACTTTGCTTTACCCAGAGAGGTCCTAGACTGTCCTCTCTACCAGGGGCTTCTAGAAGCTGGGCTCCAGAGATGGATGGAAAGGCTGGCCTGTAAGTAGGCAGAATCATTCCAGGTGTCCTCAGGGCAAGGACTGGGCTGGAATTTTCAATCACTGTGCCAAGGTTTGGGTTGTGTGTCAGTCTTCTCCTTGTGGCTGTCGTCCTGGAGATGGGTATTAAGGCAATTACTATTCCTTTGATTTTTATTTTATTTTAGTGATAGAGAAATGGAAGGTAGAGAGAGGAAGTTTCTGAAGCACTGTCTTCTGGCAGGCATTCATTCATTCACTCACTCATTCCTTCCTTCCTTCCTTCCTTCATTTAGTAACTGAGAACCTTCCCCATCCTGGGCATCCAGGCTCTAGATAAAGCACTGCAGGGGAGGGTGCTTGTGGGGTAGCAGCCTGAGTGTGAGAAGGTAGCAGCCTTGTTGACCTGGGTGATGTTGGTCCCAGGCTTGCTCCCTACTGTGGCAGGGAAGGTCTTTGGGGTAGAGTTGGTCAGAGGTCAGGCCTTTATGGCCTAGGGGTCTGACTTGGGTGCAGTCAGCTGCCTTTGCTAACATCTGCCACATTGAAACCCTGTGTGCTTCTCTCTACCTCTTTGGGGGCTATGCTGGAGAACCAAGGCCCTGGACAATCCATCCATCCATCTCTCCATCCATCTGTGGCAGGCTTGAGCCCCCTCCATTCTGGGCAGGAGGTGGGATAGGAGTTCCAGGGTCTGCAAAGAGCAGAGTCACTGAGTAGTTATTCGGGGAGTGTAGGGGATGGGTGAGGAGGAAAGGCCTGGGGTCTTTGGTGTTTGAAGGCCTCATGCAACTGTATGGGAGTGAATACAACTAGAGCCTAAGCCCACCTTGCTCCTTGCCAGCCTGGGACTGGACTTGACCCTCAGAGCATTAGTTTCCTCATCTGGGCATGTACTTACTGAAGACAGGGAAGTTTGCGACGTGTGCCTGGCATGATGGGCACCAACAGCTTCACAGAGCGACTTTTCCCCTCCTGATGGTCTGTGCTAGGATGGGGGAGAATCTTTCATCAGGTTCTCAAATAATACCAGCTCAAGGCAGGGGATGGTCCCTGTCTTCCTTCTGTATTTTGTCAGATCAGCATCACAGGGTGACCTTCCTAGGCATCCTGGGGCCTGGATCCTATTTGTGCCCTTAGCCCTACTCCTGCTGGCCACCTGGATGAGTTACTTCTCTTTTCTGGCCTCAGTTTCCTTGTCTGCACCCACTTTTCTGCGTCGTGCTGAGGGCTAAATAAAATGAGACATGGAAGATACCATGTTCCGGCTGAGCACAGGCTCGAGCCGGAAGTAAACAACCGAGATGTGGAAGCTTCTAGAAAGCCAAACTGAAAGTGTGGCCACTGCTTGGCAGCGTTGGGGAGCTTGCTTTTCTCAGTTAAAACTTTAAAATGGTACCTGGGATCTCTCTGAGTAGTTTCTTCCAGATTCCTCCTTAGCATCTACATCTATCAGCCTTGGAAGGGGAAGGTGCCTGGTCACTGGTAATTTGGTTTTGCATGTTACCACCCCTTCCATTATCAGAAAGAGCTATAATGGGGAGGAATTAACTCTCAGCTGCCACTCACCAGTTTACCTTTTTTTCTCCTCCCCACTTCAATCCCCCGTGTCAATTTTCTGAAGTGCAGAGACAGGCAGCGAGTGACAGCGAGTGACAGGAGGTGGTGGGCAGTCCCTGCCTGGAAGTCCTGTCTGTTTCTTATGTCATCATCTGGAACTTACAAAGGCCAGGGACGAGCCTTGGGAGCAGGGAACAGTTGGGGCTTGGTCTGGGATCCCACTGACCACTGCTAAGCACTATACGTTGGAGGAAGAGGTTTCTGAGGAGCCCTAGAATTTACAGGCTGCTCTCAGAATGTTTGCTTCAGACATTGAAAAATAAAGTAAGTGTGGGAAAAAAAATTAGCTTGTCCGGTAAGAGAAACTAAATAATTTGCTTTGCCGGAAACTGGAGATAAACCCCACTTGCAGGTTGTCTTAAAAAAAAAAAAACACAAAAAAAACCAACAAAAAAAATCCCCTTGCATTTGATCTGTTTGGAGTTGTTATTTTTCCTCAAATTAAGATT